AAAGTCAAGAGATGAAGAAGACATGAATATTATTGCAGATAAATATAAATAGGGTTCAGAGGATTCTTCTCTAGAACAAGAGAGATGATCTTCTCCCTTTACAAGTATCAAAATCACAATATCCAAAAGTTCTAAGGTTTCTCCTCTCTCCAAAAGCGTTCTCTGTCTAGAAAAAAATAGAATAGAATATGTCTGAAGGTCACAGGCGGCTGGGGGAAGAAAATAGAAAGATTAGGGCAAATCCCGAAATTAATTAGAAGTTTCCATAATATTCGGGAGCAAAGGGGGGTTTGCTCCGCGATAGAGGGAGCAAGCAGGGGGTTGCTCCGCTCGGGTGCTATGCGATGGAAAACTCTGGTTTTTGCATTCTTTCTTCCATATGCTCCTTCTGGTGCATTCCAACTCGTTCTCTACCTGAAATAACTCAAAACACACTAAGTATACTCCAGGAAAACACAAAAGTGATATGCAAAGTATGTGTGTAATATGTCAAAAACACAACATATCAGTGAAATACCTATTTTTTTGTTCAACATATCCAGTTTACAAATGGTGGATCTCTCTGCAAATACCTTATATGGAGACATACCTCCACACGTAAATTCAACAAACGAAGTAGTGTTACTCCTACAAGACAACCATTTATCAGGAGCTATTCCGGATACACTCCTATTAAATGTCAGTATACTTGATCTGAGAAATAACAGATTGTCCGGCAATATTCCGGAGTTCATCAACACCAAAAACATCAGTATTCTTCTTCTGCGGGAGAATAATTTAACAGGTCTTATACCTCAAAAATTGTGTAGCCTAAGAGGCATTTACCTTTTGGATCTATCTAACAACAGACTGAATGGATCCATACCTTCATGTCTTAGAAATATATCATTTGGTTTGAAGAAACATGATACATCAAATGTCTATGGTTTCACATTTGGTTACATTCCTAGTGATGTCTTCACTAGCTTCATGCGGGAACAAGATGCTAGCTCTGCCGAGAATATTGGTATATATTTCAAATCTCTGCTTGTGCTTGATCCTTTTAGTATAGATTACTTGGCAGGCGCTCAGATAAAAATTGAATTTGCAACAAAACACCGATATGATACTTACATGGGTGGAAATCTTCTAGGCTTTTCTGGATTAGACCTCTCAGTAAATGAGCTAAGCGGTGAGATCCCAGTGGAGGTAGGAAGTCTTGTGGAACTACATGCTCTAAACTTCTCTCACAACTCTTTATCAGGTGTGATACCAACAAGTTTTTCAGGTATGAAGAAAGTGGAAAGCCTTGATCTATCTTTCAATAGACTGCAAGGCCAGATCCCAACACAACTGACAGATCTGAACAGCCTAGCTGTGTTCAATGTCTCATTCAACAACTTATCAAGAGTCATTCCTCTGGGAAAACAGTTTAACACCTTTGATACGGGGAGCTACTTAGGTAATCATCTTCTCTGTGGGAAACCAACCAACATAAGCTGCAATGGTAATAACTTTCAAGAACCAGAAAATAATGAAGTGAGAGCTGATGATTCCACTATCGACATGTTATCTTTCTACTGGAGTTTTACTGCAGGCTATGTAATAATACTTCTTGGAATATTCACATCACTCTCTTTTGATTCTCGCTGGAGCAGAGCTTGGTTCTTCGTCGTTGATGCTTTCATCCACAAGGTGAGGAACTTTTGATGGTAAACTATTGCTGGTGCCATATCATTTTTCATTTTTTGCTGTTTTTCTTCATAAAACCTCTTAGCTCTTGTTTTTGTGTCATCAAACCAAAGCACAGCTTGTGTTTGGTTCTTGTGTATTGTCTTGTCTATCTTTGTATACTTCTAAGTAGTATGTGATGTGGATTATAATTTCCATGGATATTGGGTACGATGTCTGCACTGATTTGGGTCAAAATTATTGCCCCTTAGAATAAAAATTATAGATCCAATACCAACATGTTGGTCTCCTTTGGGAGTACTGTTTCAGTTAATGTGGTTGTTGTGATGATAGGCATTCTTGTACTTATGTACATTGATTGTCCTTGGTGTCAGGCATGGCTTCGCCTTATCAATGCTTTCATGGCCTCTGCAAAAAGTATTTTGTCTTAGAATTATTTCAAGATGAGTTCTCAGATATTCCTCATCAAGGAAAAAGAAGCTTCAACACATATTTTGGAATATTTTTGTCTTATAAGGAGGAATACATATATCTACTGCAATTTCATATTTTTATTTGTGAGAGGATAACATCTAATAATCTATCCACCACCAGATTCATGGGTGTAAACAGTCACAGCCATGTGATATATAAAAGCTTAATCGATGTAAAGAGAGGCTGATCCCAAAGTCTTTTGTTAACTTGTATTTTTGGTAAATGAGTCATAGGCGAGACATATATCACACCTTTATTATGAGTGTTCTCTACAAAGACCTTGACTCTTCTTAACGTATGTCATGGTTTTAAAGTGTTCTCGTTAACAGAGACTTGAAATTTTCTGATTGTACAGAATCTTTTTCTTTGGCATCCCCTATATATTAATTGAGAAACATTTGAAAAGATGTAACCTCAACTTTATAATAATTAAAAAGTAACCTTGCTTAGTTGTCAATCAATTAGCATACCAATTAAACTGACGTGGCAGCTTTAGGTTCAATTGAAATTTGCTAGGGAAAAATAATTAGAGATGCATATAACGCATGTAACATAGTTTACATGAATATATATCTCTATAATATTATTTGAGAAGCCAGTTTCCTACGTGTCGCGCTCACGTTAACTCTCGCGATGGTTGATTACATAGATACCCTTAATGAATTATTAGATTTTAAAATTATTATTAAATTTTTTATTTAGTTTCCTTTTTACCTTTTTTCCAAATAACATATATAATAAAAAGGAAATATTCTAAATTTAAAAAAAAATTAAAACGAAAATATATGTATATAATATGATTTTACTAAAAAGGAAAGTTCACAAAATAGTAATACCCCCGTTAATATATATTTTAAAAAACATAAAATATATTCTCAAAATAATAAATATATATATGTTCATGAACATCCAAAAAATTATCAGTTACACTTTATTTTCTAATATTTTTAGAAATCAACATATAATTTGATAAATATAATGAAAATGCATGTATATTTAAGCGATAAATAAAACTAATTTGATTTGACTTAACTAAAATCTCTATCATATTATTGGAGAAGTCAGTTTCCTACGTGTCGCGCTCACGTTAACTCTCACACGATGGTTGATTACATAGATACCCTTAATAAATTATTAGATTTTAAGATTATTATTATTTTTTCATTTATTTTCCTTTTTACATTTTCCAAATAAAATATACAATAAAAAGGAAATATTTCTAAATTTTAAAAAAAAAACGAAAATATATGTATATAATATGATTTTATTTAAAAGGAAAGTTCACAAAATAGTAATACCCCCATTAATATATATTTTAAATAACATAAAATATATTTTCAAATATATATGTTCATGAACATCCAAAAATTTATCAGTTACACTTTATTTTTTAATATTTTTAGAAATCAACATATAATTTGTTAAAT